TCAAAAGACATACTGAGGTCCTTCCATTGACAATCGTCGACTGAGATCGCCCCAGCCTGCTTGGGTTAGAATGGTTCGCACCCTTGGGGATCGAGGTAACAGGAATCAACAGCGTCACCGAGACGGACTGGGAAGAAAGCCTGATGAAAGAGTTCCAGGACGTATTCGACGGGACGCTAGGCAAGTACCGTGGGACCCCTATATCATTTAGTCTGAACCCGAACATAGCCCCCATCTGGCTAAAAGCCAGACATGTCCCCTTTGCCTTAAAGCCAAAAATCGATGAGCAGCTGAACAAACTCATCGCACAAGGGGTACTAGAGCCAATCGACCATGCAAGATGGGAAACCCCGATTGTTACCCCCGTGAAACCAGATGGGTCCGTGCGCATCTGTGGTGACTATAAGGCCACCCTAAACCACGCATTGCAGCAGAGCACATACCCCGTTCCAGTAGTTCGGCACCTTTTGCACTCGTTGGGGGGAGGAAATTTTTTTGCAAAGCTCAATCTCGCGCAAGCATATCAACAATTGCCAGTTGATCCCGAGACGGCAGAGGCATAGACTATTGTAACACATAGGGGGGCATTCAAATGCAACAGGCTGCAATTTGGTGTCAGCGTGGCCCCAGGCGTTTTCCAAAGCCTGATGGAGCACCTCCTACAAGGACTAAAAGGGGTGGTCCCTTATTTTGATGATGTATTGGTATCTGCCGGAAATAAAAAGCAAGTAAAAGACCGGCTGAGGGAAGTCTTGCAAAGATTTAGAGAAGCAGGAGTCAAAGTCAAAAAAGAAAAATGCCAACTTGTCACAAATCAGGTCAAGTTCCTGGGATACCATATTGATGAAGCAGGGATCCACCCCACCAGAAAAAAAATAAGAGCTATAAAAGAAGCACCCAGACCCAAAAATAAAACAGACTTACAGGCATTTTTGGGACTCATTAATTTTTACAACGTCTTTTTGCCTCAGAAGGCAACAATAGCGGAACCACTGCACAGACTACTCCATAAAAAAGCCACCTGGGCCTGGGGCCAACGAGAAGAAGCCGCATTCCAGGGAGCTAAAGACTTAATAACATCCAAATCTGTATTAATCCAATACAGCAACACGTTGCCACTGACTGTCACCTGCGACACATCACCATTCAGTGTGGGCGCCATACTTAGCCACACACTACCCGATGGCAGAGAGGCACCAGTCGCCTTTTACTCCAAAACGCTGTCAAAAGCCGAAAGAAATTACAGCCAACTGGATAGAGAAACCTTAGCCGCTATATCGGGGGTCAAACATTTTCACGAATACCTTTATGGTAGGACATTTCCTTAACTACTGACCACAAGCCACTGTTGGGAATCCTGATGGGAAACAAAGCCACCCCCAACATCCTGTCACCAAGGATGACACGGTGGTCGGAATTCCTTGCAGCCTACAACTACAAGCTCGTCCACCGACCAGGAAAAGCCATACCCCATGCCAACGCACTGAGCTGCTCACCTCTACCAGATCTGGATGACGACCCAGCTCCTACCACGTCCACTCTACAAATTGAAACATTACCGAACCTGCCTCTCACCGCATCAGACATCGCAAAGGAAACCACAAAAGACGCACTGATGGCCCGAATCCTGAACTGGGTAGGGAGGGGCTGGCCAGAAAATGATAAGAATGAGACCTTTAAACCCTTCAGAACCCGGCAAACTGAGCTGTCAGTTGAAAAAGGATGTATACTGTGGGGGGATAGAGTTGTCGTTCCTAAAAGACTACAGGAAGAAGTGCTGAGCATGTTACATGAAGGACACCCGGGTATCATAAAAATGAAATCCCTGGCCAGAAGCTACGTCTGGTGGCCAGGGATGGACAAAGACATTGAAACATGGGTGACAACATGCAATAAATGCCAGAAGTCCAGACCTACCCCCCCTCCAGCACCAGTCCTCAACTGGGAGACACCCAGAGGCCCCTGGTCGAGGATCCACATAGATTTCGCCGGACCCACAAAAGGATATACATTTTTAATCATTGTTGATGCCTACTCAAACTGGTTGGAGGTCAGCATCATGAATTCCACGACGACTGAAGCCGTCACCAAACAACTAAGAAAACTTTTCAGTACGCATGGGTTACCGGACTTGTTAGTTTCGGACAATGGCCCACAGTTCACAGCCTTAGCTTTTGAACAATTCCTCGCAGAACAGGGCATACGACATGCCCTAACAGCGCCAGCTCACCCAGCTTCAAACGGACAGGCGGAACGGATGGTTCGGTATACGAAAGAGGCATTAAAAAAACTTGACACAAGTGACATTCAAGACAAAATCAATAAAATGCTCACAATCCAATATATAACACCAAGCACATCAACTAACAAGAGTCCAGCTGAACTTTTAATGGGCAGAAAATTGCAGACACATTTGGATAGATTGCACCCCACCTACAACCCTGAAAAGCCACCAGACTCCTCCAGTAAGTACCGCACATTTATACCAGGTGACCTAGTATACGCAAAAAATCTTACTGGGGACCCATTGTGGCTGCCGGCCACAATAATGCAAATAACAGGGCCCCGGTCATACCGACTAGAAACGGCGGACAGCAGAACCTGGAAGAGACACATAGACCAACTACGGTCTCGAACTCTAGAACGAATCACCGACACACCCCAAAGCATAGAACATGCCCACACACAAAATCCAATAGATAATAATAAAACCAGAGACGGGGGGAACCCTCAAACAATAAAGAGAGGGAAGACCCTCCACTAACACGACAAAAAATGAATCACCAAGCAGTACCAGAAAGCCCAAAAAATAAAAACTACTTACCTGCAGGTGAGTTCGGAAGAAAGGAGCTGGAAGCCACCCATGGAAGAAGCAGCCGAGCCGACTCAACCTGCCCGGGTAAGCCAGGAGGGAATGGCAAAGCCGACTCAACCAGCCTGAAGAGACCAGGCGGGAGCAGCATGGCTGACTCACCCTTCCAGGAGGTTCCAGGGAGAAAGACAGGAGAGACAGCAATCCCGTCCGAACCGACTGAAGACAACACCGAGACTGAACTGCGCAGGTCAAGTAGGAACCATAAAAGCCTCGCCTACTTACATGACTACGTAACGTAGAGTTGGACCAAACCAAGAGGGGAGGGGTGTTGTATATAGACATTTGCATACTCGTAATACTACGTTCTGATTGGACTACCACTGCCACCTAGCGATTGGTGGTTAACAACTGTTGCGATTGGTCCGCCAAATGGCGGGAGGTTTAAAATGATGCCATTGGCCACGAGCCATGAGCAGCCGCTATAAAAGAGGCTGCCGTGGCTCGAGTTTAGTTGAAGTCACTGACAGTTAATAAAGAGCTGAATTCAACCCCGGTCTCGAGTCTGTCTTTGTTCCATGACAAAACACAATCCTAAATTGTATTAACAGAAGGATACAATCAAGATCAAGGGAAGTACGAATACCACTCTATAAAGCCTTAGTAAGTCCACAGCTAGAGTACTGCATCCAGTTTTGTTCACCATATTATAAAAAAGATATTGAGACTCTAGAAAAAGTACAGAGAAGAGCAACCAGGATGATTAGGGGACTGGAGGCTAAAACATACAATGAAATAATAAATAAAACAATAATAAAACATACAATTGCAGGAACTGGGCTTGGCTAGTCTAGTAAAGAGAAGGACATGATAAAGAGAAGGACATGATAGCCATCTTCCAATATTTGAGGGGCTGCCACAGGGAGGAAGGGGTCAAGCTATTTTCTAAAGCACCTGTAGGCCAGACAACGAATAATGGATGGAAACAAGGAGAGGTTTAACTTGGAAATAAGGAGAAACTTTCGGACAGTGAGAACAATCAACCAATGGAACACCTTGCCCTCGGAAGTTGTGGGAGCACCATCACTTGAGACTTTCAAGAAGAGGTTGGACTGCCATTTGTCAGAAATGGTGTAGGGTCTCACGCTTGGGTGGGGGGTTGGACCAGATGACCTACAAGGTCCCTTCCAACTTATTATCTGTTATATGGTTTCTTTGTTATATCATGTGAGACCATCTTTCAGATACTGGATTATAATGAGTTTTATCAAAATAATTTCCAGGGATAAATATCCGCATATTTTTCCACAACCATTTCCTGTAAGAAATAATATAGAATAAAGGAAGTTAGGGTTTTTTTTTTAAAGGAAAAGAAATACAAGTTATGTACCCTAACAAATGAATATACTTCACTCATGTTCCATTAGACAGGATATATTCTGTCAATTTAAATTGTTCTCGCTCACAATGATTTTAGACTAGTGTGATTTCATGTGCTAGCCACAGCTTCTTGCAAGTAAGGGCAAGCTCAGGGTGCTAGGCTGATAACTGCAGCAAAGAGTTGTTGCTGTAATTCAGATGTGAGCTGCAAAAATGTGGATAGCCAGGAGATGGCAGTGAAGAATTATGATCACTGGATTGTCTAGATTTTGGCAGTTCAGATGTGGATATGTTACCCAATGTTGAAAGAAATGTAGGTGTGTTTGCAAGAAAAAAAGGCAAATTACTACAAAACAGCTTATAGAAAGCTAGACTTCCTTAGCGTATCAGAGTAAGGCAGAATGAGGGAGGGAGGGAGGGAGGAGAGGGAGGGAGAGAGAGAGAGAGAGAGAGAGAGAGAGAGAGAGAGAGAGAGAGAGAGAGAGATTTAACTAAACTCAGAGCATTTCCAGTTCTTTGAAAAAGGAACAGTGAATTGTTGTCATTTACAGCAAGTTAACAGTTGATAACTAAGCTAATGCTTTGGATCTTGATGAACTTCAATCAGGTCTACCACTGAGAAGCAAAGGTAAGGACTGCTCTTTAGTAATGACCTCAGTTTTAATTTCTAAGTGAAGAGAGAACAAGCACATTTGTTCTAAAACAGATCAGCATTCTGACATTCCCTTGCAACAATGCCTGTACGGAAAAGATAAAGGACATTTGTGTTCATCAGAGAAAAACATATTGGTCTAGAAAGGAAGGAACCCAATAATCTGATAATTAAACCTCAAAAGTATACTCAGGTCAGTGAGTTAAGTAACTCCTCTTCGTCGTTCAGAATTATTTAAAGGAAGTGCTTTTCAATTAGCTGCACTTTAATAAAGATATTGAAAGCCATGGCATCTGAACAAGGTAAGCTATTATTGAGTGCTCTGAGAAGAGTGCCAGTTAATTCACTTCTGGGGGTACCAAGTCATCCAAATGTCAGATACACACATAAAATACTTAAAAACTCATCTTTAAATTTCCCTCAACTATAGACTCTGCAGATTAATTTTGAATAGACAAATCAATTTTTTATTATTACAAATGCCATAGGTAAGTGCTAGACAGTTCTCCACTTTAGCCTAAAATTTAATGCAAAACTGCATTTCCAGCAAAATGGGGGGACGGACAGTGGGAATCAAACAGTGATGGCAATTTTTCTTTTTTTACAAGAACAAAATCCCTAGGGGACATGGCCTGGTGAAAGATGCATTCCATTATATTTTCCATCTAGAACAATTCCATGGCTATTTAAGTCCCAGAATGCTATCTGCAATAGCTATTGTGATTTATTTAATCTTCAGTTTCTACCTATAGACTGGAACAAAATATAGAACCCATCTGATCAGAATATATATCCCTTTGTCATATTTTGGATGATCTAATAAAAGTATTTCCTGCTGTATATTTTATATTTCTAATTTCCAGTGTGATTGTCTATTATTTTTGGCAACTCATTCAGTAGCACGATTGGAAGAGAGATAGAACATTTTATGGTGGCAAAGTATCAAGTCTAGTGATAGCTTTTCCAACTAACCAATTTTATTAAACGCTATAAGTTTTTATTTAATTGTCTTGCATTTAAATTTCTTAGTCATAAAAGGTGTGATCAGGTTTCTTCAGATTCAGTTTCATGGTCTAACAAGAGTTTCTTGGGTGGATATATTAGTAAAACACAGAATCATTCAATATCGGGGTGGGGAAAATTAATAAATCAAATACAATATAGTATTGAAACCTAGAAGTAAATTTCTTAACTAATTTCTGCCCCTAACTGCTTCCTTAGTAATATGAAATAGAAAATGAATTCCTACAGGAATAAGATGACACATATCAAACAACTATAATAGTTCTAAGCAATTACATTTTAGCTGAATATAAATATCTTATTTAATGGTTTATCCAAACATCAGGATGAAAAAGTATGCTTTCCAATAAATTGGAGATAGTTTAAAAATAAAAAAGCTTTTAGGTACTATCTAGAGATCAATTTAAAATATTTTTACAGAAGTATAATGAGAAAAAAATAATGCATCTTGGGGTCACAAGTTGCTTTTCCTTGCACTAAAAATATTGTTTAGTATAGCAAGGAATTAGGTACAGTATATTAGTTATGAGTAAAATAAAGAATTGCAACTAATTTTTTCTACAGCTTATAAATAAATCAAACTAAAGATAATTGTGAAAGATAAGTCCTAATCAAATACGGGGAATGAAGGGAAAAACATATGCTTCTGTGTATGGGTGTTGCTAAATGTTTCCTTTTCTGACAGTTTTAGCACAAAACAGAAGCATGTTTTTTTGACAAGCACTGTTTGGTCGAATTTTTTATTGCTCACATGCTATCCTCTTATTCTTTTGGAATCACATTCAACATCATCTTTTTGCAGATATGGGAACTGATATCATGTTTCTTTTTTAGATATCCATACTCAACTGCATATATAGAAAACTCAAAATTAGGGAATGGAGCAAAAGGGAAACAGTAGAATTTATACTGGTCTTTTATTGGTTTCAGCCTCAATACATTCCATGCATGTCATGGGATATATAATAAGAGGCAAGAGTCCTATAAGTCAAGATAGAAGAATTGAAGATAGATAGATTAGATAGATGATAGATAGATAGATAGATAGATAGATAGATAGATAGATAGATAGATA